AGTAGATTCCCTTCTTTGTAATTTTACTTTTACTTGCTTGTCAGTAGAGTCCCTTTTTGCAATCTTATTTTTAGTAGAGCCTCTTTCTAACGTTACTTTTAGTTTGCTCATCAGTAGTGTCCCTTTTTGGTAATTTTATTTTTAGTTTGCTAGTCAGTAGAGTCTCTTCTTGGTAATTTTATTTTTAGTTCTGGTAGTCAGCAGAGTCCCTTTTGACAAAATTTAAGAAATTAAGAAATATCACTTGGTGGAGGCAAGAGTATGGTAAAATATCACGTGTATTTATTTTTTACCTGAATTTAAAAAAAAATCCAAACATTTTCAAAAAAAATCCAAACTTTTTAAAAAAAAAAAAAAAAATTTAAATTTTTTTCTAGTAAGTAAAACTACACGTGGTGTTTGGTGAGGAAAAGGGTGTAATTTGCAATATCACCACGTATCACCAAGGGGAAGAGAAGGGGAGAACTCCAAAAATCTTTAAAAATTCCACACGCGATTAATGGATGCCCCCCCCCCCTTAGTTTGCTCGTCAGTAGAGTCCCTTTTTTGCAATTTTATTCTAAGTTTGCTCGCCAGTTGAAATACTTTTTGTATTTTATTCTTAGTTTAATAGTACAAATTTTACTTACCTATAATGTAAAGAATTCCTAGACACAACCTTGCTGACAATTTTCCTGACTTGAGCCCTCGACAAAGCCAAACCAAGGGTATATATCAATTCCTCAACGTCCTTCTCAAAAATATAACCGCAATGCGTCTGATCAAAATAGACAAACGACAGCAACAAATTAGGATCCTTTGTAACCATCTTATTCCGTTTGGAACTTTTGGAACGACTCGAAGACCTATAATGATCATCATCATAGTCATCGTCGTCGTCATCGCGACTTCCGCCTCTGTGATCTGATCTTTTATCTTCAGATCTTTTATCATCGGATTTTTTATCGCTCCTTTCAGATTTGTCATCGGCTTTTTTGTCCGAATCCTTTTTATCGCCGTCAGTCGATGACGACACTTTCGATGAGGACTCTTCTGTGGATTTTCTGTTGCCGGAATCATAGGACGAAGGTTTGTCTTTTTTGGGTTCCTCCTTGGGTTTTTCGGGTTGCGATTGCAGAGATCGGTAGATGTTGAAGCCGAAATCTCGCATTAACATTTCGTTGAATAATTCGGCAAAGAGCGACACCTGGGAATAAAAAAAATAAAATTGTAATTAGATTTACAAAAATTAATAAATATATAATATCATTTGGGGGTCGTTTATTCTTCACGTAAAAGCGGTTTGACCAAAAAATCAAGCGAGAAGGGAGGGTCTAAGAAGATATCACGTGTTTTCATTTTTTACATGAGTATAAAAAAAATCCAACATATTTAACTTCCCATAGGGTAGTTAAAGTAATGGGCCAAAAATCGAAAATAAATTTTTTGCATTTCTCGACGTTTTGAAGGTTTCTGAACATTTTGGCATACCTCAGAATAAATGGATGTGTGTGTATGTGTGTGTTTTGTAATGTCCGCATTTTTTCGTCCACGTTTCCGGGCGCGCGGATCAACGCGATTTAAATGATTCAATTATCATTCGATTCCTATTGATAGGGAGATGTGCTGATTGCTTTTGTCAAAGGCAGGTCTACCGTTTCGGAGATACGAAACAAAAGTGCAGAAAATGGCTATTGATTTTTTGCGAGAACGGAGCGTCCGATTTGTATGATTCAAAAAACATGTTATTTGTATGAAGAATTGATGATATTTTTGGGAAGGCATTTCTGGCCTTTTCGGAGATCCAATAAAAAAAGTGAAAAAAATCACATCAAATCATAATAACCTTACATTTCTTTTAAAAATTTTAAAAATTCAAAAATCGAGTTCTAAAAGAAAACTGAATCTTTTTAGAAAATTTAATTTTTAATTTTTGGTACGGGAAGTTCCAGCAATTTGCCTTAAGGCACGATGCAATGCACCACTAGTTTTAATTTTAATTTGGTCGACAGCAGAGTCCCTTTTTTGTAATTGTATATTTAGTTTGCTCATCAGTGGAGTCCCTTTTTCGTAATTTTAATTTTAGTTCAGTCGACAGTAGAATCCCTTTTTGTAATTGTATATTTAGTTTGTTCGTCAGTAGAATTCTTTTTTGTAATTGTATTTTTAGTTTGCTTGTCAGTAGAGCCCCTTCTTTGTAATTTTATTTTTAGTTTGCTAGTCAGTATAGTTCTTTTTTATAATTTTATCTTTAGTAGAACTTCTAGTGAAACTAGAATTTCGTAACAAATATTTATACAGAAAAGGGACTCTACTGACAAGCAAACAAGAATTTCCTAAAAAAGAATTTCTTAGAAAATATTTATACAGAAAAAGGACTACTGACAAGCAAGCTAAAATTTCTTAGGAAATATACAAAAAAAGGGACTCTACTGACAAGCAAAGTTTCAAAACGAACATGATAAATAGTTGAACTGTTGTTTTTTTTTTAACTATATTTTTCTAAACTTACCTCGAAAGAATGCTCTTTCGTATCCTCAGGTCTATAATCAAGGAGTAACGACAACGACATGACGATACAGTCAAACTTGCCCGATTTTGCAACCTTCGACGGATGCACTATAATATGCGGAGCCTCAGGTAAAGTATAACGTTTCTCCAAAGCAAGACGTTCCTTTTCATCTGCTCTCCTGCTATCATCCTAAAAAACAGAATGTCAGAGTCATAATTCAAATGAATTAGAATTTTAATCATACATATGATAAATAATTTATATTACATGTTTTTTCTTTCTATCGCTCGATTCCTCTCTGGATTTTTCATCAAACTCCAAAGTTTTACTATTTTCATTGGCCTTGTCGTTGGATTTTTTCTCTTCTTCTTCCAATTTTTGTGCTTCCTCCTCTTCGTCTTCCCGATCAACTTTATCTGCTTCAGCTTTTAGGGCTTTCACCAATCGAGCTATTAGCTGCGATTTTAAACCTGAAAAAAAATCCACTTAACGGTCGGGTTTTTTTTCGTGAAAAAGTGATCTAAAAGAGCAGGTTTTTTTATTGCGGATTTTAAAAGTTTAATTGATGTAATATGTGTTTCTGATAACATTTTCTTTTTATTTATTTTATTTTTGTTTAAAATTAACAATAAATATTATAATACCGATGACCGCTTTGATGGTTTTGGACTACCTTTATGCTTCATGTATAAACTATTGTGTTATAATATGATAAATAATACGAAATTTTTATTTAATAACTTTTAAATTTTAATAATATCTATTTATCTAAAAATAACATAAATTTGTGAACAAATAAGAAAATTCAACAATATATAATTATTAGAGCAAATGTACGTGTAAAAACTCTAAAAGTTAAAAACAAAATAGATGGATTCTTGCCTAATTAGAGATAAAACACTCCAATGTAATCTTCAATTGATTCCTATCAAAAATAACACAAACATATAACAATAACATGTCCCTTGATGGATATTCAGAAAGGCGGTTTTTACATGTTTATTTCTATTACGCTGAAGGAGCAATTCATTGCTTCGACAAACGACCAGAATTCAAGTTCGTTTCCTTTATAAATATTTTCTAAAAAATAGCTCGGCAGTAGACGGACTCTACTAGCTTAAAAAATATTTATGCAGAAAAGGGACTCTACTGACGAGCAAACCAAAATTTCTTTGTAAAATTAGAAATATTTCTAATTTACTTACAACTAGATTATTTTGGTTTTCAAAATAAGGTATTACAAAATTTATAGTTATACCAATTTACAAATGTCTTACCTTTAGAATTGATGCTCCTAGCCTCGAGTTCCAACCGCAAATCGGTGACTTTCATCGTCTTAGGATCCAATTCCGAAAAATGTGTTGGTTCTGGTTTCTGATCACCAGAAATCAAACCGGAATCATCCTGCAAACGAACATAAATTCATGAAACGCAACAAACAAAAATAAAATCAAAAACTAATCTCCATTCACACTTCACGATTTCATCTACAACCATTCATCTATCAACTAAATTGTCAACTGCTTTTCCCCTGGTAATAATCTAATATGTATGTTACTATCGCTACCCCATCGAATTAAAAAATAAAAACTGAAAAGCAATTATAAAAATCTCCATGTTTACGTTCATTGATTGAGAGACATATTATATAAATAAATGTTTATAAAAAGCAAAAGTAAAATAATAATAGTACCCTGGAAATTAATATATCATAAGAAATGTCTCATCGAGGTTAACGAAGGTTAGGAGCACCAACCTCAACCAAGATTCAACAAAGCTGGATGATCACAGTCATATGGATTGACGAAACATTAATTGTTGACAGGAGTCAGGAGATATAGTGTTATGTAACAGAAAAAAATATTAGTCATTTATAATTAGATAACCTATCTGAATTAATTACATACATGTCTATTTGGAATAGTTTTAAGGGAGGAACTAATTTTTACAAAGATTACACGTGATGAGAAATAGATCAAGATTAGATTTTGATCTAATTTTAATTTTTGAAATAAATTGATTTTTGAACAACGACAGTAACCCCGATTTGCGAGCCGGTAAACACGAGTGTTTCGAAATACGAGCCGCCAAAAGAGAGATTTGATGATACGAGTAGAGTCGCCTTAGAGTCTGTACAATTATTTGGCAAAGAACTCTAGTTTGCTTGTCAGTAAAATCCCTTTGCTAGTTTGCTCGTCAGTAGAGTCCCGTTTATGTCCAAGACATTTTCGTTTGATCGCCAGTGGAGTCCCTTTTCTGTCTAAGAAATTTTAGTTTGCTCGTCAGTAGAGTCCCTTTTCTGTCTAAGAAATTTTAGTTTGCTTGTCAGTAGAGTCCCTTTTCTGTCTAAGAAATTTTAGTTTGCTCGTCAGTAGAGTCCCTTTTCTATTTAAGAAATTTTAGTTTGATCTTTTTTTGTGTTAATATTTCCAAAAAAAGATCCAGTTTGCTCTTCAGTAGAGTTCCTTTCCTATATAAATATTTCCAAAGAAATTCCAGTTTGCTCGTCACTAGAATCCCTTTCCTGTATAAATATTTTCTAAGAAATTTTAGTTTGCTCGTCAGTAGAGTCCCTTTTCTGTATAAATATTTTCGATGAAATATTAGTTTGCTCGTCAGTAGAGTCCCTTTTCGACAAATATTTTCACGACACGTTCATACACACACTTCTTCCAAAATTCGCATCAAACGATTCAGAAAGACTTGAGACGTCGTGAAAACAAAATTAGCAAATCGGGTTTATTGGCAAAAACGTAAACTTCTTCGGAAAGTTAGATATATTTAAAAAAAATCTGATTAAATTTTATTTATGCATACATACTTTCGCAAAAGGACAAGTATAAAATCAAGGTAGGAATGATAACATTCTAGATCCTCCCCCCACGAAGGGCAAAGCGGAGGTTTTAGTCGGTATTATACCCAGGCGGTATTGAGTCCGACATACCCAGTCAAAAGACCTAGTACGGGATGAAATAAAATAAATGCCTTTCCTTCGCTATACAAAAAGAAACACCTCTTTCGCATTAAACGATTCAGAACATAAAATTATCAAATCGGATTTACTGGCTAACGCAAACTTTTTCGGAACTTTAATTTTATATTAAAAAAAAATCTTATTAACTTTTATATGTATAAATACACATGCATATATACACTCAATTTAATTTTAGTATCCAACGATTTAGAACGACTTGAGACGTCGAGAATACATTATATTCAGAGTCAATTATAAAAAAAATCAAATTAAATTGTTTGTTTAAATACATATCATTACCAATTTTTGTATCAAACGAATCAGAACGACCTGAAACGTCTAAAATACATGAAATTATAAATCGGATTTATTGGCTAACGCAAACTTTTTCGGAACGTTATTTATATAAAAAATATATTAAATTTATACATAAATACACACACAAAAACACACTTCTTACTCAAATTCTCATGTCGAACGATTCATAATGACTTGAGACGTCGAGAAAACAATAGCAAATCGGATTTAATGACAAAAACGTTAACTTCTTCGGAAAGTTAATTATATGATAAAATTATTGATTAAATTTTATATATTGATACACATACATTTCAATTTTTGTATCAAACGACTTCAAAGATAGAAAATGCATAAAATTAGCATATCGGATTTACTGGCGAAAACAAACTTTTTCGAAACGTTAATTACATAAGAAAATCTAGAATTAAAATTTAAATGATAATACTGTTTAAATCTGTTACATAACACCTCTATCCTCCTCCCATCCTCGTTTGTTTCTCAAATCCATCTAGATCTACAAAATGTTGATCAGAAGAAACCTAAAATATCATGTCATGAATATATTTACAATCAGCCAAATACATCACTTCCATCAGCTATTCGATCGACCAGCGAGATAAAAAAGAAAGACCAGGATTAAAATCTGTGTGTGTGTAAAACTATATAATATTAACTGTAATCATGTTGCTAGATTTGTTGCTCTCTGCATCGGCATCCTTGCTGGCAGCACCAGTAACACCGACACCAGCAGCAGCACCAGCACTGGCAGCAGCAGCAGCAGCAGCAGGATCTGCTGGAGACTCGGTAACACTTTTATCTGTTTCATTGGATTTTGCGAAGGCGTCATCTTTGCCGTGCAATAGCCGACGATATCCATCGGTCAGACTATCCCACTCCAGCCTGGTCGGGACACAGCTCCAAACATCTGGCAGGAATATAACAACTGTTTCGACACGAGCTGGCACCTGTCGACCCTTGTGAGTTGACACGCTCCGTCTGTAGTACAGCTCCACAAACCGGTACCTACAGTGACAGGCCATATTCTAATGTATAGGATCGTTTGGTAAAAGAGTCATATGATATACTAAACATGGCAAACTTGGTTTAGTATCATCATATAACTGCGATTGATAAACTAATTTTGCACAAATGATAAAAGCAACACTACAAACATGGATATAGAAAAGAGAAATGTTGAAAGATTAAATCACATTGACTGTCCCACAATGTAAAATACAAAATTAGTCAGAAAGCGGAATAGATGCTTGAAAGTAGTATCAGTAAAATATAGTAAAAAAACAACATTCCAAAGGTACAAATTCAATATTGATATTTTCTCATTTGTTTATGAAGAAAGGAAAATAATTGAAAAATCCAAATACACCATGGTACCCCGACATACGAGTGTTTCGAGATACGTAGAATCCGATTAGTATGACGCCGGATATATTGACAACCGCTTAATATAAATATAAAAAAACAGCTGTCTAGTCGGATATATTGACTTCGCTTACATTGACATGTCGCTTATAATGACCCATTTTTGCAAAAAAATATGTCCAATTATAATGACCGACATGATTTTACATGATGTGGCCAAGTCTACGAAAGCAATTGCTATGTCTTTTGTGAATAGTAGCACCAGGGACTGTTTTTACAATAAAATTATGCAAAGAAATCAATCAAAAATTACTGATTACTTACATTAAAAAAACACATTTGTATGTTTATGGGTAGGGTAGACTAATTATTAATGGCCCACCACGGATATCTCATAAACAAATAAAATTAGATTTTTTTAAACAATTATATTTGATAGTAGAGGGCAAAAAATGTATAAATTCATAACCAGCCATCACCTTTATTCTTATGATTTTGCTATCAAAAGATAAGCAGCACATGACTGCGATAAAAAGGACCAGCTGAACCTTTACTTTGGCAAAGGTGTAAGCAATAAAATAGTTAAGTTTAAAAAAAACAATTTTACAAGAGATTAATTGAATAAATTGTTATTCCGGCTCTTCTGATGAATATTTCTGACCAATAGCAGATCAATGTAATATACTGTGTTGTCTTTGTAACAAATGTACCCACAGAATTAATATTGTGCATTAGTTCAATAATGTAGCATAAAATGCCTTTAAAATTTAATAAAAAAAATTGCATCTGTTCGCCCCCTGATTGTTCCACTTTACCTCGTATGCGAAGTAAAATGGGTCAGATACCAAATGTTTAAAAAATATAATATTTATATAATTAGGAATTATGTACGTATGTATGTAAGTTTTTCTGAACATAGTTCGATAGATGCTTCTTTGATGTATGTTATGTGTTGTTCATTGGGTTTAGACAGTATAATTACCGTAAGTCAAATTGGACCGTTGTGCCCCCGCCCTACCCTATGTCAATTTTATTTTATATTAAATTTTAATGTGTCATTTTTACTTTTAATTAAAACGTTTGTATAGGCTTTTTTTTAAATTACTGAAACATGTAACATATTTGCATATTAAAATAGTTTTTCTTCAGTACGCTTTTAATGACGACCGGTTAGTATGACGAGATTTCGGCGTCCCTTCGATGTCATACTAAGCGGATTCTACTGTACGAGCAAAATAGTGCTTTGTAGCATCAACATACGAGCTTTGAGCGAATAAAAAATATTGTTAATTGCAAAAAAATATATAAAAAATTTCGTCAGTTGCAACAATGATATTCGACAGAAATATTTTGACTATCTAATAACAGTAAAGTACGAGCAAAAGAGCGACTCGTTGCTTCGACATACGAGCAAAATTCGAGATACCAGCTTTGAGCGAATAAGAAAAATGTTAATTGCAAAATGTATATGAAAAATTCGTCGGATGTTACAATGATATTCCTAACAGAAATATTTTGGCTATTTAATAACAATAAAATACAGGTAGACCGTGGTACCCCGACATACGAGCAGCCGCATGAGCACCTAGTTGCTTCGACATACCAGCAAAATTCAAGATACCATCTTTAGACGATTGGGAGTTTTTTTTTAACTTCCCGTAGGATAAGTTATTGTAATCGTCCAAAAATCAAAAATGAAAAATTTTTCATATCTTCACGTTTCAAAAGTTTCTGAACATTATGGCATACCTCAGAAAAAATGCATGTGTTTGTTTGTGTTTGTGTGTGTGGATACAATTTTTCTTCCACCATTTCGAGAACACGGTTCAACCGATTCGAATTACACAAAAAATTCGATTCATAAAGATGGGGAGAAGTAATGATTAGTTTTTGGCAAAAGCAGGTCTAGCCGTTTCGAAGATACGGGGCAAAAATTGCCAAAAGCAACAGTTCAGTTTTTGAAAGAACGCAGCGTTCGACGAAATGAAAAACTGATGATTTTTTGGGAAGGCAGGTCCAGCGCTTTCGGAGATCCAATAAAAACAAGTAAAACTAGTGAGTGCATGGCATCGTTTCTTAAGGCAAATTGCTGGAACTTTCAGTACCGTAATTCAAAATTTGTAAAAGATCAGAAAATTTAGTTTTTTTGAATTATTGAACATTTTGAACACATTTGAAAAATTTTAATATTGAAAAAAATATACCTTTTTCGAAAATACTGTTTTTTTGAAAACTGGAAAATTATTTGCAAACTAACTTTTTTTTGAAAATTTTGATATTTCTTAAAAGTTTTTGATTAACATAAACAAATTATTTAAACGTTTTCATATTGAGGAAACAAAACCATAAAATTTATTTTACAAATATTAATATAGCCCAATGCACAACCTAAAACGCTATAAAATTATAAAGTTTGAATAATAATTTTATCAAAGGAGCATGGCTCTGAACGGATTAGAGACACGGAATGTGGTCATAAAATGATAAATAAAAAAGTACAGAGAAGAATGGATGAAGAAAGGATTCTACTGAGCAAAAGAAAGGAAAACTGGGTTGGACCCATTCTGCAAAAAGAGCCTCCTACAGGACGTCGTCGAAAGTAAAATAGAAAGTCTGAAAGGATTGGGAAGAGAAAAAAAATGTAGATGATTGACGCATCAGGGCAGAAGTTTTCAAACGAATGCATAAAAGTGCATATAAAAAGTGTTTAAGGGTAATGGAAATAATAAATAAAGGATGGAAAGGAAATCATTGATTTGTGATGCTTTCGCACCACGGACCTACCTTCGAGCAGACTACTATTTGTTATATATTCAATATATTCAATAATGACTATGATTAAAAACTATGAAAAATTTTACTAATAAAGAAGAATGATGAAAACCAGTCAAACACCACAAAGTCCCATATATGTGTGTGCATTACACAAAAATCTATCTTATCTACTCCATGCAAGTAAACAAAGAGTATAAATATATACCCATGCACATTATTATTACTAAATAAAAAGTCAATTTTCTTCCCTCTTGCAAACACCAATCATCACAATACATACCATTGCGTGCAGTTCGATAGATCAATTCCCGTTAGGCTTCTGCAGGTCCTGATAGCAGTTTTGATCAATACGCTAGGATTCCTTTCGGGATTAGGACCGTCCAGGGAAGGACTCCATGGACCTCCGATTGCCATGGTTTCATTTTTGCCTCTTAGGCCGACGAGGAAATTAATGAGACGTGTTGGGTGCACAAAAGTGGCATCATCGGCATTGTCGTCTTCGGCTAAGGAACAACATTTGCGGTAGACTTCTTCCATGGCTGGCATACTCATTAGCATAACCTGAAAAGAAAAAGATAATAATAAAAACAATTCTAAACTTAACAGTTGAAAAAGAAAAAAATTTAAACAAAAAGAAACATGGTAATTGTAAAATTTATTAGAAAATACTAATGTATTTATTAATTTCAATTATTACCTTGGCAGAAAAAAGATAATCAGCATCAGGAGGATCCTGAACATCATTCGTCTTCGAACTAATCGGTTCAACATCTTTATGCATAACATGAAAGCTGCAAGGCTTCGACAGTGTAAACGGGACGTCTGGTGGAAAAGCTTCGACCCACATCATGTGAGTTTTGAAAAATCGGATGGTATATAAAGATTTGTGTAACGACGAGTAAGTTCAATAACATCCGCTTCATGACTTGAAAATAGATAAAACACAATAGATTTACAATTCAAAGGTAAAGGTGAGGTGTGTATGTACTTACAGGTTTAGTGCAATTTTAGGTATCTGCACCATATATCTGGAAACCAGTCTGTTTCTTCTGCGACTTTTTGGTGATCTTGATCTTCTGCGAGATGGACTGTGTTTATCTTTTTCATCACGATCTTTGTCACGACCTACACGGTCCCTGTCACGATCGTCACGTCTTTTCCTACGCTCAGCTTCTTCAGCCTAATAATAAATACGAACATGTTTTTAAGAAAAATGAATTGTAAAGTTATATTATCATTAGTATATTTTTATTTCTACCTCAGAATCCCGATGTCTGTCATCTTTCTCCTTCCTATCTTTATCAGACCTCCGTGGAGCACTAGATTTAGTAATACTCCTCGAAGTGCTCCTATTACTTCCAAAACTTCCATTCTGACTAGGCTCCGGAGGAGGAACAGCATTGTATTTAGAAGTCTGAGAGAATCCTTTGCTACTTCTGTTATTAGCATTATTACTCAATGGCAAGACCTGTATCCTCGTAGCATTCCACTTAAAAGGCATATTAGAACTAAAAGTGGCTTCAACCAAAACTCTATCCCCGAGAGATGGATTTGAACCTTTGACACAAGCATTTGTTTGAAAGAATACATCATCATCGACAAAACCAAAATCGTTGTGGATTTTTGTGACAGTGCCTGTGAATACTCTTTGTTTGGTGCTCGGGGCCTGCTGGGTAGTAGTTGTAGTTACTTGCTGTGTTGGCTGGAAACTTTGGCTGTTAATAGCTCTAGGATTTGGATAAGCCACAGCTGTCATTTGAGGAAAAATCTGTCCTTGGCTTATTTGTTGCATTTGCTGGATGCCTATGGCTTGATTTTGGATCTGTTGCTGTATTCCTAGGTTCTGAGCGAATAATGGTTGTGGGGGCTGATATTGCATCATGTTTTGCTGTTGGATGTTGGTTAAAATTGATGCTGTTTGTAAATTTGCAATATTTTGAACTTGCTGCTGTTGGGTCGTGGTGTTTGTTCGAGCCCATGGAGGGTTTTTAGCTGTTCCGTACACTTGTTTACTCATTTTATTAAATAATACTTACAGCAATCAAATGTTTTACGGATTTTTGTATATAAACAATCAGAGCGCGCACTTATTAATAAATCACTTTGATACGGTTGCCATTTTGTTTTGTATTTACAATTTCAACACACATTGCCAGATGACATTTTTTTGCGCCAATACTTTTGCACGTGTTTTAAAAATTATAATAACACTTTATCAAGTTTTTATATTACATTTATTCTTTAACAAAATAACTATATTTTTTACTTTAATCTGTGTTAAGCACCTTTGTTTATTTTTGTATTACTTTTAAATCAACTTATTGCCTGATGTGGTATTCAACATTTCTTTTATGGTGTCTAAAATTGTCGAATTAGGCAATACTGACACTTTCATATCTATCTATGACTGACACCATTGTCTAGGACCCTAGTCTAGGACTGACACACTCGAAAGTCAGACGCTCAATCCGATTTCTTTGCATAAAATATCCCCAAACATATCTAATAAACTAATATCATTTGTAAATTATCAGAATCAAGTATTTAAATATACGTTAAACAAGAATCTATAATTATTTTTAAAAAATAGTGTTACAGTTATATCAGGAATAAAAATAACATCGGACTACATTTTAAGGCTATTTTGTACGTCAGGTAAATTAATCAAAAGCATCAAAATAATACCGTACCAGGATATAATTAAATATCCCTCTGGAAAAGAATTTAAAAATTTGAATGGATTTTTAAAAACGTAAAGTGAATTTTTCAAAAAATAGTTATTTACAACAAGATTGGTGTAGTGAATCAATTATGAGATGCGAACAATAGTGTTAAAACAAAATAGACACAAATTTTATGACAAAACACTAATTTTACTTTTTTTGTACTTTTAAAACGTTTTGAGGGCATTAAGTCAATTTAAAAGTTTTTCTATTTAATTTTAATAAAATCGTAGGCTTTTCTTTTACAATAAATTAAAAATTATTGAATTGAATGAAATGAGAATTAAAAAAATATTGATTATGCTTTAAATTTGTGGAATTATGTAAAAATTGACTTTACTTTAGATGCATGATTATTTTTTTTAAATAATTATTCTTCTCTGAAAATGAACTTAATATTATAACTTTCTTTCAATGATTTTAATAAACTTTTTTGATTTACAAACAAAACACAAATTTTATAAAGATAATTTCATCAATAATATATAATTGGATAAATGTGTTATTGTATTAACTTGTTATAATCAATTGTGTGTTTTGTGTTGTTTTCATAAATTATTTGAAATAATTAGCAGCCTTTCTTTATTAATTAAACGTTTCGACACTTTATGTGTGTTTTTATTAAGCAAGCAGAGTAAACATTTTTTGTAAAAATACAAAAAATAGTTTCACTAAAACAGAATGAGATTCCATTGTCGATTCTAAAATGATGAACATTTCTTTTGTATTAATTTTTTTGGTTATGTAATAATTTTCTTTTTAATAATAATTTGTTTTAAAACAATGTTTGTCCTGGTTGATTGCTGAATGATGTCAAAACGTTTCATTAATAAAAAATAATGTTATTTTTTAACAGTTTTGTATTTCGACGAATTGCCTGCTAATTATTTCAAATCTGTTTCAACGTCGAAAAAGCCTTTAAAACATATATATATATATATATATATATATATATATATATATTTGTATATAATTAAATCTTCTATTTCTAGTATTTTATTCTCGATTGTTTATTCTTATAGATTTACCATCACGGAAGAGCAATATGCATTAAGTTGGATGAGTTTCAAAAACAATTTAATATCGGGCTATCAAGAATTATACAGAGATGAAATGTTTACAGATGTAACATTAGCTGCCGATGGAGTTATTGCTAAATGTCATCGAGCTGTGTTAGCAATCAGTTCAAATTTTTTTAAAATCATGTTAGAAAGCTGTACTGGAAATAATCACCCTATAAGTAATAAATGAATTTTATTATTTCATGTGTACTTTAGAATTGTTTTTATATTATATTTTTATAGTATATCTCAATAATATTTCACAACAAAACTTGAAAAATCTATTGGAGTTTATTTACTACGGAGAGACTAGAGTTGAACATGCAGATTTATCTCAGTTTATATTGAATGCAGAATCGTTACAAATTAAAGGATTAACTGGTCCTGAAGTAAGTTGTAGATTCACAAATGGAATTATAATTGAAGTGTACTTGTACTTCAATATTTTAAAATAATATTTGTTTTGTATTCAGACGGGTGCCACTAAACAGACAAGATCAATAAAAAAAAAGGCTTCACAGAGTTTAGAAAATGAAATAGAATCTCCCAAAATGATAGAAGGTATAAAAATTCTTTTCATTTTAATTATTTACTAGATTTACCTGATAATGAGACTTTATTTATTTAACAAAAAAGCTAAAAGTTTCTGTATTTTTTTAATTTTAAATGCCATCTGTTTCCTATATGAAGTTAATTGAAAATTTTCATTACATACAATATTTGGTCTACAATTATTTCTTGGTTTTATTTCACACTTTTGGCCTTTCTCATGTTTTTAAAGAGATTTAAAAATGAATGAAGCAGGAATGAAAATCCAACCTGTTATTAATATTTATTAACTTCCCGTAGGATAAGTTATAGTAATCACAAAAAAATCTAAAATGAAAATTTTACTTTATCTTCACGTTTCAAAGGTTTCTGAACATTTTGGCATACTTCAGAAAAAATTGATGTATGTGTGTGTGTGTATATGTGTGCGGATACAAATTTTCGTCGACGATTTCAGGAACACGGACCAACCGATTTGAATAATTCAAAAAACATTTGATTTGTATTGATGAGGATACATGCTGATTAGTTTTTGGCAAAGGCAGGTCCAGTCATTTCTGAGATAGGGAGCAAAGAGTGCAGAAAATAGAAATCGAGTTTTTGAGAGAATAGAGCATCTGATTTGAATGATCTAAAGAACATTCAATTTGTATTGATAAAAGGAGACGTGCTGATTAGTTTTTGGCAAAGGCAGGTCCAACCGTTTCGAAGATATAGAGCTAATTATACAAAAAATTGCAGTTTTTGAAAGAACTAAGCATCTGGTTTGAATGATTTAAAAAACTTTCTGCTTGTATTGAAAAAATTCTTACATCTCTTTTTTATTTTCCATAAAATATTATTTTAAAATATTGAAGTACAAGTACACTTCAATTATAATTCCATTTGTGAATCTACAACTTACTTCAGGACCAGTTAATCCTTTAATTTGTAACGATTCTGCATTCAATATAAACTGAGATAAATCTGCATGTTCAACTCTAGTCTCTCCGTAGTAAATAAACTCCAATAGATTTTTCAAGTTTTGTTGTGAAATATTATTGAGATATACTATAAAAATATAATATAAAAACAATTCTAAAGTACACATGAAATTTGCAAAATATTGCAAATTTACAAACAGCATCAATTTTAACCAACATCCAACAGCAAAACATGATGCAATATCAGCCCCCACAACCATTATTCGCTCAGAACCTAGGAATACAGCAACAGATCCAAAATCAAGCCATAGGCATCCAGCAAATGCAACAAATAAGCCAAGGACAGATTTTTCCTCAAATGACAGCTGTGGCTTATCCAAATCCTAGAGCTATTAACAGCCAAAGTTTCCAGCCAACACAGCAAGTAACTACAACTACTACCCAGCAGGCCCCGAGCACCAAACAAAGAGTATTCACAGGCACTGTCACAAAAATCCACAACGATTTTGGTTTTGTCGATGATGATGTATTCATCTAGAAGAATAAAAGATTGGCTGACAATTGGAAATTGAATAGATTGATTAGATTCAAATTTGCGATAAACAAATCTGATTTAAATTATTTTGAATTTGGTTTATAAAATTTGTGCTGTTTGTGATTCATAGATCTAACAAAAGAATAAGCACACTTTTGTGTCAATAAAATATATTGGTTTTACACGGAAGATACGTTCCAAAAAAAAGTGTAACTTGAAAAATTCACTTTTATATGACAAAACCGTGCTAAAGGAAAATCACTATAAAAAGCACTTTTTGCAAGTTTTTAATATGATGAATAACTAACGAAACATAAATATTAATATATTTAATATCGAGGACATTTAATAAATTATAAATATTTAATTTATTTCAATAATAAAACAAATATAAAGAACTATTAAGTATTGCATTTTTTATTGATAAAAATTAAAATTGGTCTGTACAGATATAACCTTTCTTTTACTCTCCAGTTTAAACTACCCGTAGGCGTAGGGTAAGTTATAGTGATCGCAAAAAAAAATCGAAAATGAATTTTTTTTTTGTCTTTACGTTTCAGAGGTTTCTGAACATTTTGGCATACCTTAGAAAAACTGATGTGTGTGTGTATGTGCGCGGATACAAATTTTCGTCGACGATTTAACCGATTATAATCATTCAAAAAACATTCGATTCGTATTAATAAGGAGACGTGCTGATTAGTTTTTATCACAGGCAGGTCTAGCCGTTTCGGAAATACGGGACAAAAAGTGCCAAAGACGGTAACTCAGTTTTTAAGAGAACGGAGTATCCGATTTGAATAACTCAAAAAACATTTTGCTTGTATTGACAATATGAAGAACTGATTAAATTTTTGGGAAGGCAGGTCTAGGGATTTCGGAGATCTAGTAAAAAAAGTAAAAAAAAAAGCCTTTTGGCGGTCAAAAACGATCATTAGACATATGCACATGAAATTATCAGATATTTTCTGGAGATTTTAATAATGTGTGTATCAATTTTGTTTAAATTTCTATGCCCACACAGCACAAGACGATCCGACGAAATTCCGTGGGATGTACGCATGCGGGACACTCGTAGTCCGCGGATCATCCATGGACAGTCCGGCTTGTCCCGTCAGTATCCCTGAAATTTAATTTTGACCGACCCTAGGGATGATCCGTAGGCTATCCCGCGCCGGATATTCCGGCCGTAAGGTTGTACATACATTGTACTTAATTATGGGTTATTTAATTAATAATATCTAGCTGAAAATAATATTGGCATTGATAATATATTAAAAAAACATTAATTTGAAAACATATATTGTATTTCTTAGGATTTCTTAGAATTCTTATAAAACAATTCCTCATAAAAGCAATTCTTATAAAGCAATCAATTACAAATTTTGTTGGTCTTGTACTGGCATTCCTTTTCTGAAACATAGAATGAATAGTTAAAAATAATGAACATAAATATAATATATATATATATATATATATATATATATATATATAAATAATAATATATACTATATTATAGTAATCGGGCGTAACATCAATAAAAAACATGAATTTCTTTCAAAAATTTATTTTACATCCATACATTTCGCCTATAATCCTAGCCTTAATTCAGTGGAAAAATTAGTTAATTTTAGTGTTAAATTAGAATATGGAATGAGGCAACATATGGATGTGAAATAAAATGGGTTTTAAATAAATCTTTAAAAACTCTCGTACTAGTTTTTATTGATCTAACCCCCAAATTTTAAACTCAAAATAATGTATGTATATGATCTTACAATTGATTCCTCATCAACCGTTCGCTGGCATGTCTCAGCCAACTTTTAACTGCCTCTGCAACCGCATGCTTTGTCTCTTTTGGAAGATTTTTGAGTACAGTATCTGTAATTAATAAAAGATGAAATACATCTTATTTATTTAAATACATCTTATTAACCAAAATAATAAAATATTTGTTTGGACACTGTCCTCGCGTGCGGACATGACGGATCGTCCCTGGACCGTACGATTTCGCGGATTTGAGACATCCCAATGCGGACAGTCCTTGTACGGTCCGTGGAATATGCGCGATATTGCAACCGCGTAGCGGACAAGCCGGATAGTCCCCGGACTATCTTGTGCTGTATGGGTGGGTTCCGTACCAATGTTTATCCGTTAAAAGGCTACGCGCTTCAATATTTCGTCTCTATGCAGCTAAAGCAGTGCGATTGCTTTGAAAAAAGTTCAAAATTTCCAAAATATTTCAAAATAAAAAAATATATTTTTCCAAATTTTTTTCTTCCAAAAGATTTTCAAAATTTTAAATTTTCTCAAAAATCCAATTTTTTCAAAGATTAAAAAAAATGGTACGGAAAGTTCCAGCAATTTACCTTAAGGCACAATGCCATACACCATAAGTTTATTACTCATATTTTTTTATAAATGAAAATTTTTGTAAAAAATGATTCCGTTATTTCACCTTGAATTTCGCTATCGATTATATATGAACACTAATTAAGAACAATGATGCTCTTTGTTTTGATATTTGAAACAAACTAGCTTATACGCACATGAAATTTAGTTTTGATCATAAAACGGAAAGTTCCCATATTTTAATCTATAGATTTTCATCACAGATATAGACTACTAAAAATTAGTAACTGTAACATACATTTTGTAGCAAAGTATTTTGATAGTAAAACAATAAAAATGTTATTGTAGATATAAACAAACTATAATTTCGTGTAAATGCAAAAGAAGCTGTAGAAAAAAATATTTTCAAAAACGTCGATGAAAGGTCTAATTTTATCAAAGGTCAAAAAACGCTTCTCATTTTTTCAAACTTTGACGAATTTTTAAAATTAAACGACTTGTCGTAGATATTTTAGTATATTCTATAAAACCTTGACATCTATCGCAAAAAAAAAATTTCATAAAAAAAATTTCTTTAACAGTTAATTACAAGAAAACGACCCGGCCGATCTTTACAAAAAACTAATCAACGCGATTTCCAAACAATATCTTTCAGGCAGTTTTTGAATTTTCAAATTCGATTCAAAATTGCGGGCTAAAACGCGTACGAAAATATTTCCACTTTTCTGATATTAAAAAAGAAACGGTTTGGCTGAATATCGCGTAAAATTGGCAAATGTTAGTCCTCATTGAATTGCATCGAATGGCCCTTAATTTTTTAAATCTGTCCAAACGTCGACGAAAGGTCAAAAATCGGCTCAAGCATACTTTTACCAAATTTTCTCTCATTGGATTGCGAATTATTTTCTATATAACCGGGTGAAAAAATCACAAAAAGGCTTTTGCAACACAAGAAGTGAAACTCTCAAACAACTAACTACAAATATTAATTAATAAATATTTATCAAGTACCTCTGACTTGTGTGAATCCCATATCATAGTTATCAGCCGGGTCTTCTATATAATCATCGTTGGTATTTTCATCAACTTTCATTTCGCGTGTTCGTATATATGATGGTTCGATTACTTCTTGGATATCTTGGCAGGTTTGTCTTTTCAAAAGGTTCTCATTATGCTCTTCTGCAGCCTTTATGTGTTCTAGGTCTTCTTGGATATCTTGGCAGGTTTGTCTTTTCAAAAGGTTCTCATTATGCTCTTCTGCAGCCTTTATGTGTTCTAGGTCTTCTTGGATATCTTGGCAGGTTTGTCTTTTCAAAAGGTTCTCATTATGCTCTTCTGCAGCCTTTATGTGTTCTAGGTCTTCTTGGATATCTTGGCAGGTTTGTCTTTTCAAAAGGTTCTCATTATGCTCTTCTGCAGCCTTTATGTGTTCTAGGTCTTCTTGGATATCTTGGCAGGTTTGTCTTTTCAAAAGGTTCTCATTATGCTCTTCTGCAGCCTTTATGTGTTCTAGGTCTTCTTGGATATCTTGGCAGGTTTGTCTTTTCAAAAGGTTCTCATTATGCTCTTCTGCAGCCTTTATGTGTTCTAGGTCTTCTTGGATATCTTGGCAGGTTTGTCTTTTCAAAAGGTTCTCATTATGCTCTTCTGCAGCCTTTATGTGTTCTAGGTCTTCTTGGATATCTTGGCAGGTTTGTCTTTTCAAAAGGTTCTCATTATGCTCTTCTGCAGCCTTTATGTGTTCTAGGTCTTCTTGGATATCTTGGCAGGTTTGTCTTTTCAAAAGGTTCTCATTATGCTCTTCTGCAGCCTTTATGTGTTCTAGGTCTTCTTGGATATCTTGGCAGGTTTGTCTTTTCAAAAGGTTCTCATTATGCTCTTCTGCAGCCTTTATGTGTTCTAGGTCTTCTTGGATATCTTGGCAGGTTTGTCTTTTCAAAAGGTTCTCATTATGCTCTTCTGCAGCCTTTATGTGTTCTAGGTCTTCTTGGATATCTTGGCAGGTTTGTCTTTTCAAAAGGTTCTCATTATGCTCTTCTGCAGCCTTTATGTGTTCTAGGTCTTCTTGGATATCTTGGCAGGTTTGTCTTTTCAAAAGGTTCTCATTATGCTCTTCTGCAGCCTTTATGTGTTCTAGGTCTTCTTGGATATCTTGGCAGGTTTGTCTTTTCAAAAGGTTCTCATTATGCTCTTCTGCAGCCTTTATGTGTTCTAGGTCTTCTTGGATATCTTGGCAGGTTTGTCTTTTCAAAAGGTTCTCATTATGCTCTTCTGCAGCCTTTATGTGTTCTAGGTCTTCTTGGATATCTTGGCAGGTTTGTCTTTTCAAAAGGTTCTCATTATGCTCTTCTGCAGCCTTTATGTGTTCTAGGTCTTCTTGGATATCTTGGCAGGTTTGTCTTTTCAAAAGGTTCTCATTATGCTCTTCTGCAGCCTTTATGTGTTCTAGGTCTTCTTGGATATCTTGGCAGGTTTGTCTTTTCAAAAGGTTCTCATTATGCTCTTCTGCAGCCTTTATGTGTTCTAGGTCTTCTTGGATATCTTGGCAGGTTTGTCTTTTCAAAAGGTTCTCATTATGCTCTTCTGCAGCCTTTATGTGTTCTAGGTCTTCTTGGATATCTTGGCAGGTTTGTCTTTTCAAAAGGTTCTCATTATGCTCTTCTGCAGCCTTTATGTGTTCTAGGTCTTCTTGGATATCTTGGCAGGTTTGTCTTTTCAAAAGGTTCTCATTATGCTCTTCTGCAGCCTTTATGTGTTCTAGGTCTTCTTGGATATCTTGGCAGGTTTGTCTTTTCAAAAGGTTCTCATTATGCTCTTCTGCAGCCTTTATGTGTTCTAGGTCTTCTTGGATATCTTGGCAGGTTTGTCTTTTCAAAAGGTTCTCATTATGCTCTTCTGCAGCCTTTATGTGTTCTAGGTCTTCTTGGATATCTTGGCAGGTTTGTCTTTTCAAAAGGTTCTCATTATGCTCTTCTGCAGCCTTTATGTGTTCTAGGTCTTCTTGGATATCTTGGCAGGTTTGTCTTTTCAAAAGGTTCTCATTATGCTCTTCTGCAGCCTTTATGTGTTCTAGGTCTTCTTGGATATCTTGGCAGGTTTGTCTTTTCAAAAGGTTCTCATTATGCTCTTCTGCAGCCTTTATGTGTTCTAGGTCTTCTTGGATATCTTGGCAGGTTTGTCTTTTCAAAAGGTTCTCATTATGCTCTTCTGCAGCCTTTATGTGTTCTAGGTCTTCTTGGATATCTTGGCAGGTTTGTCTTTTCAAAAGGTTCTCATTATGCTCTTCTGCAGCCTTTATGTGTTCTAGGTCTTCTTGGATATCTTGGCAGGTTTGTCTTTTCAAAAGGTTCTCATTATGCTCTTCTGCAGCCTTTATGTGTTCTAGGTCTTCTTGGATATCTTGGCAGGTTTGTCTTTTCAAAAGGTTCTCATTATGCTCTTCTGCAGCCTTTATGTGTTCTAGGTCTTCTTGGATATCTTGGCAGGTTTGTCTTTTCAAAAGGTTCTCATTATGCTCTTCTGCAGCCTTTATGTGTTCTAGGTCTTCTTGGATATCTTGGCAGGTTTGTCTTTTCAAAAGGTTCTCATTATGCTCTTCTGCAGCCTTTATGTGTTCTAGGTCTTCTTGGATATCTTGGCAGGTTTGTCTTTTCAAAAGGTTCTCATTATGCTCTTCTGCAGCCTTTATGTGTTCTAGGTCTTCTTGGATATCTTGGCAGGTTTGTCTTTTCAAAAGGTTCTCATTATGCTCTTCTGCAGCCTTTATGTGTTCTAGGTCTTCTTGGATATCTTGGCAGGTTTGTCTTTTCAAAAGGTTCTCATTATGCTCTTCTGCAGCCTTTATGTGTTCTAGGTCTTCTTGGATATCTTGGCAGGTTTGTCTTTTCAAAAGGTTCTCATTATGCTCTTCTGCAGCCTTTATGTGTTCTAGGTCTTCTTGGATATCTTGGCAGGTTTGTCTTTTCAAAAGGTTCTCATTATGCTCTTCTGCAGCCTTTATGTGTTCTAGGTCTTCTTGGATATCTTGGCAGGTTTGTCTTTTCAAAAGGTTCTCATTATGCTCTTCTGCAGCCTTTATGTGTTCTAGGTCTTCTTGGATATCTTGGCAGGTTTGTCTTTTCAAAAGGTTCTCATTATGCTCTTCTGCAGCCTTTATGTGTTCTAGGTCTTCTTGGATATCTTGGCAGGTTTGTCTTTTCAAAAGGTTCTCATTATGCTCTTCTGCAGCCTTTATGTGTTCTAGGTCTTCTTGGATATCTTGGCAGGTTTGTCTTTTCAAAAGGTTCTCATTATGCTCTTCTGCAGCCTTTATGTGTTCTAGGTCTTCTTGGATATCTTGGCAGGTTTGTCTTTTCAAAAGGTTCTCATTATGCTCTTCTGCAGCCTTTATGTGTTCTAGGTCTTCTTGGATATCTTGGCAGGTTTGTCTTTTCAAAAGGTTCTCATTATGCTCTTCTGCAGCCTTTATGTGTTCTAGGTCTTCTTGGATATCTTGGCAGGTTTGTCTTTTCAAAAGGTTCTCATTATGCTCTTCTGCAGCCTTTATGTGTTCTAGGTCTTCTTGGATATCTTGGCAGGTTTGTCTTTTCAAAAGGTTCTCATTATGCTCTTCTGCAGCCTTTATGTGTTCTAGGTCTTCTTGGATATCTTGGCAGGTTTGTCTTTTCAAAAGGTTCTCATTATGCTCTTCTGCAGCCTTTATGTGTTCTAGGTCTTCTTGGATATCTTGGCAGGTTTGTCTTTTCAAAAGGTTCTCATTATGCTCTTCTGCAGCCTTTATGTGTTCTAGGTCTTCTTGGATATCTTGGCAGGTTTGTCTTTTCAAAAGGTTCTCATTATGCTCTTCTGCAGCCTTTATGTGTTCTAGGTCTTCTTGGATATCTTGGCAGGTTTGTCTTTTCAAAAGGTTCTCATTATGCTCTTCTGCAGCCTTTATGTGTTCTAGGTCTTCTTGGATATCTTGGCAGGTTTGTCTTTTCAAAAGGTTCTCATTATGCTCTTCTGCAGCCTTTATGTGTTCTAGTCTTCTTGGATATCTTGGCAGGTTTGTCTTTTCAAAAGGTTCTCATTATGCTCTTCTGCAGCCTTTATGTGTTCTAGGTCTTCTTGGATATCTTGGCAGGTTTGTCTTTTCAAAGGTTCTCATTATGCTCTTCTGCAGCCTTTATGTGTTCTAGGTCTTCTTGGATATCTTGGCAGGTTTGTCTTTTCAAAAGGTTCTCATTATGCTCTTCTGCAGCCTTTATGTGTTCTAGGTCTTCTTGGATATCTTGGCAGGTTTGTCTTTTCAAAAGGTTCTCATTTGGGCTCTTCTGCAGCCTTTATGTGTTCTAGGTCTTCTTGGATATCTTGGCAGGTTTGTCTTTTCAAAAGGTTCTCATTATGCTCTTCTGCAGCCTTTATGGTTCTAGGTCTTCTGGGATATTTGGCAGGTTTGTCTTTTTCAAAAGGTTCTCATTATGCTCTTCTGCAGCCTTTATGTGTTCTAGGTCTTCTTGGATATCTTGGCAGGTTTGTCTTTTCAAAAGGTTCTCATTATGCTCTTCTGCAGCCTTTATGTGTTCTAGGTCTTCTTGGATATCTTGGCAGGTTTGTCTTTTCAAAAGGTTCTCATTATTGCTCTTCTGCAGCCTTTATGTGTTCTAGGTCTTC